AATAAAGTTAAAAATTAAACTTTTGAAAAGTTAGCAGGAAAGTGACAGTTCGTTATGTCCACAGTGCAGTGTCGGTGTTTGTCCAGCAGGGGCGCTACACCTCTGAGCCCTCACAGCAGTGTAGTAAACACACGCTAGCATCGTTAGTTGTCCGCTAGCATCGTTAGTTGTCCGCTAACCTGCTGGATTAACGTCTCCGCGGGACATCACATCAACTAAACCAACACAGAGAGGTGAGTTAGTCGAGGTTAATCTCAGCTGGTGCTCAGTTTAGTGCGGGAACCACAGCCGCAGCGCGTGTTAAGCAGGTGGTTAGCATCGTGCTAGAAGGCCGCGGAGCCTCGGCGTTTCTTGGCTCAGCGGAGCCGCACAGAGAGGCAAGCGACGCGGACTGGCGCGTCTGTGGGTTCACGAAGAACAAGACGATAAAACGTGTAATTAAATCCGTGAGGACTTGAAGTGATCGTTGTTGAGGTGTTTCACCACAGCTCACTTCCTGTTTCAGGGTTTGTTTTTTTCATTTTTTTCATCGTTATACGTTTCACAGAAGTTTCTGTTAGCAACCAGCGGCTAATGCTAACTGTTGTAAACACGCTGGTTCTGCTCTGAACTCGAGGCGATGGTGACATTTCACGTTTCCGTGAATTAATCGGTGAATTCAAACTAATTACAAACTCAAACTCGCGCGTGCTCAGTCGTGTCCGTTTTATCACGTTTTAAAAACAAAGCTTCACTCATTATATATATAATATATATATAAATGAACGTGTTTCAGTTTGTGAGTGAACTCAGGTTTGTCCTGACACGGACATGTTGTTGTTGTTGTTGTTGTTGTGGTGGTGGTGGTGGTCCTGGTCGTGCAGCGCTGCTTTGTTTGTTTGTGTGTGAGTGATGTCAGTGATGTCAGTGATGTTGTCTGTGAGCCGGGACAAGTCCGGGCATATTTCCTCTGCGCGTGTGTTGTCAGGGGAACAGCTGACTCACTGACTGTCAGCTGCTGGATGACTGTGCAGACGCACCGACCCTGGACCAAACTGTTCCGAGCAGAGTCAACACGTGCGGGCAGGGTTCCTGTGTCTGCTGCTGCAGCCAGCCAGGGTTTTATCGTAAACGATTCTGGTTCTGAGTCATGGAAACATTTGTCTGAGCTCAGTCCTAAACCTGAAATGGATTTTACTATAATCACAAGACATTACCTTCAAGGAGCTCCATTATTTTCAGAATCTTTCATTTTTAAATGATCAACAATCCAAAACCAACTTCACTCAACTTTGAAGTTAAACACTCAAATAAAAACCTCTAATGTGAGAGGTTGGATGTAGAGAAATTTGGCCTTTTTGTGAGAAAAGTTAAAATCCAGTAGTTTCAGATGAACCGATTTATTGTTTCAGCACTAACTTTATAAAAGTACTTTTTATTTTGTTGTTTAATCAACAAAGTATTCCTTTTAGTATTCATGGTTTTATTAGTTTTTACTCTTCAAGTCCTTATCATTTCTTTTAGTTTCCATATCAGGTGACCTCATGTGTTATGAGGAGTTTCTAGTTTCTGCTCCATCACTGAGTTTTCTGCCGTTTGTAGTTTAAAGTCTGTTAAACACAATAAACAGTACAATGATATAAGCAGCCTCTTTCATTAGATGTGGTAAATGTAATCCAAGAGAACCACATAAACTCTCAAATAAATTATTTTATGATAATCTAATCATCCATTTGATTAGATTACAGCTGCAAATAATCATTTAGTTATTGATTAAGCCTTTGATTAGTGTCTTGATTAATCTATTTAAGTTTTTTATATGAAATGTCATAATAACAAAAGCTGAGATAATGTGTATTATAAGTTTTGTCAAATTCAAGTATTTACATTATTATATTTAGATTAGTTTGAAGTGTTTCCCTCTTTGATATTATACATTAGAAATGAATAAAGTTTGTATGTAGAAACGAAGCTGTCCTCTTGCACGTGATTCCCCAGTGAACCAGGACACTGAGCCACTCTCATGTGAGTTTGGTCCTGGTTACCACTGGTTAGTGTGTAGTTATGGTTAGCCTGGTTAGCATGGGCCTCTGAGGGCTGAGTCGTCCTGGACTAGTTGTGGCATGTCTACACAGAGCTGTGAGTAAATCAGCTGCTACAGTCAGTTTGAACATGAACATACAACAGAAGCTGCTGCAGCTGACTCAGCCCTGATAGGCCCCAGTCAGACTAGACCAGGACACTGAGGCTGGTCTAGTCCTGACATGTCTGAGCAGCTTTATAAGAGGCCGCAGCTCTGCTCCTCTCTCACTGCACTTTATCTGCTTTCACTTGCACAGGATGGACAGCTGCTGACACCTCTCACTCTGTATATACCGGTAAGACTTTCATTTACATCCAATATACATCTAAATACACTGTGTACACGATACATGACGCTGTACTTGACAAATGGATCCACAACTGATGAATAAATGTTCACCTGAAAACCACTGGTGTGTACTTCTTGGTAAGAGCTGCTGGGTGATCATTTACATGTTCTGTCTCTTGAAGTTAAGGCTTTAAAGTTCTGTTTTTAGTCAATCTGCTGTTTATTTCCCGAATGATTCTTTAAATAATATTGTCAGTGAAGTTACTTACATCTGCCAAACAGTTAGAGAAATATATTTTTACTCGTGTCATGATTTTAATTTCAGTCGTATCGTTCAATGTAAACTGTTCAGACAATATTTGTAAATATTTATTATATTTTTAACCAAATTCTTAAAATAAGTTGCAACAACCAACTGATAAACAAACTCCTCACTAATAATAAAACAGATTGTTAACAAAGTACCTGAAAAAGTTCTAATATTAGAGTTAATGCTGTCAGAGGACGTCACCTGTAGAGCTACACTCAGAACAAACTGACAGCTGATGATCAGGTCCAACGTTTGTTTTGTTCTCGTGCTGGATTGAGTCACATCTTATTTAAACACCCACAGTCCACACTCACGTTTTTCATCTCTATGTGGGCGTTGACGCATTTGACAGCGCTGCTCCTAATTCTGTAGCACGTGTCGGTTCCAACCTGAACCAAATGTTACCCCAAACACCAGGGAGAAGATTTAACTTGACCAGAGCCTGAAACCAAAACCACAACAGAGGGGGGGGGGGTGCTACAGGAAATACAAATTGAACGGAGGGGAACTCCATCTGGAGAGAGAACAGATGTTCACACAAGGCAGTTTCTTGTTGATAACCGTCGTCCCGGTTTGTGCTTTCACGTATAAGCAGAAATTCAAGTTACTGAGCCGGTCTCAGATTTCTCTAAAAGAGAAGTGTTGATGTTTCTTCCTGTTTGTGCGAGGTACTGCAGATTCCTCCCACAGACCAATCACAGGAGGCTATTCAAAAAGTCCATCAGCTCCTGCTGTTATTTCCCAGCAATCGATATCAGTCTGCTGCTCAGATCGATTCCAGGGTGGACTTACATGTTTAGAAAATGAGTAAAGCTAATTGGCCTTCTCGTCCATCAACAACTTACAGTAACTTAAAGCATCGTTTACTTACTCGATCTGTGTTTCTGTGCAGGAACATTCAGCTTCACTATGTCAGCTGACAGCGAGCTGAGCACCGACACCAGTGACGACAACAAACTGGTGAGAGAGACTGACTCCTCCACTGACTCTTAACTCCTCACTGGCTTTGTTTCGTGTGACTTGACACTTTCCTGTGTGTACATCTGTTGTGTGTGTGTGTGTGTGTGTGTGTGTTTAGGTCAAACCAAAAGTGGAGTTCCGCTCTCTGCTGCAACATGCTGGGGCCACAAAAGATGTTTTCACCATGAAGGAGGTACAACATGTCTCTGACTTCAGAACTGAGAAGGAAAAACTGTAGTTGTAGTGACACTATCGCTGCGTACTTAATATTCATTCTGACCCATTACACATTTTATAACTAGTTGTTTAAAATGTCAAGACCATCAACCATCCCACCCAGAATTATAATGGATTATGGGTAATTTTGCATCATCCTTTGGGCAGCAACACTTGATGATACATATATATAATTATATTGTTGTGCTCTAATTATATGTAGTTTGACTGTGTTTCTCAACCTACTTCTGTATAATGATGGAAAATAACCACCACATGGTTTTGAATGCCTTCTTCATTCTCTGGTGTTCCTCCTGCAGGTGATGTTCTACCTGGGTCAGTACATCATCCAGAACCAGCTGTACGACCAGAAGCAGCAGCACATCGTCCAATGCTCCCATGATGCACTGGGGCGGGTGCTGGGAGTCGACAGCTTCTCTGTGAAAGAGCCACGGTGAGAAAGGAAGAGAGAGACGAATGTGTTTAGATTCGTGTAAATGGTGAAGATTAAAGTGTTTCACATAAAGAAAACGTTGCTGTGATTCCTTGACGCTGCAGTGAGGTGATTAAACATGTTCCTGTTTCAGAGTTCTGTTTGCAATGATCACCAAGAACCTGGTGGCTGTGAAGAGCCAAGGTAAGTCTTCATTTTCCTCTTGTGTCCTCTCACTGTTGTTCTCATGTTGACCTGAGGATAAATGACCTCCGATCACTTCTGTGTACGAAACCACAAACATTCAGTAAACTCTGGAACCTCGTTTGGCCCCCGTGAGGCAGAGTCATTCATTTTACAAAGAATTTTTCCAGCCCAGACAAAACAAACATTTCTTTCTGTTTCTTAGAGTCGCCCCCGAGCGAGAACGAACCAAACGGCAACAGTCAGACAGACAGAGGGACAGAGGTAAGACACGCAGCTTACTGTACACATGTTAACGTCTGGAGCTCATAACACACAGCACAAGATTTTCATTTTCAATCTTACTTTTGATGCTGAATTAATGAGAAACCAATAATACTTGAGAACATGTAACACAGTGTTCTTCTGGGGTTTTATAATGGTGGAGAATGACAAGGCAAATTTAAAAGTCACAGATTTTTCAATGGAGTTTGGTTTCGTCTCCCAGAGAGAAAAGTTTCTACACGACTGTTCAGAGTTAATTAAGTTTGAATCATTATTCCAAAAATCTACAACATCAAACTGTGTTAATGTCTTTAGGAGGCAGAATCAGAAAGCCGCTCTTCATCACCAGACAGGAGGAAGAGGAGGAGAAGGAGGGGGAGGAGAAGGAGGAGCTGCAGGAGCAATGAACCAGGTGCGTGACTCCTGAGGCAACACCACCTCTTTGGTGCGCACACGCATCATGTGACCTAACGCCCCAACCACCTTGTTCTCCTCAGGCCCCTCCCACAGTGTTGAGGATGATGAAGATGAGGAGGAGTCAGAGGATGAAGAGGAAGAAGAGGGGAGGAAGAGGAGGAGATCCGACAGCTTCTCCTTTACCTTTGATGACAGCTTGTCCTGGTGTGTGATTGGAGGACTGGGCGGCAAGCGGGACAGACACAGCAGTCAATCATCAGAATCACACAGCACAGTGAGTAACACACACACACACACACACACACACACACACACACACACTTTGTGTTGACAGTTGTATTGGTTTCTAACACAGTGTTTGTGTTTAGTCTGGGAGGTCAGAGGTCACGGTCCCAGCCTCAGACTCAGAGAGCGACAACTTCAGCGTCGAATTTGAGGTCGAGTCCGCAGATTCCGACGATTACAATGAAGACGACACTTCTCTGTCGGCCGACGACCAGGTGAGCGTCCTGCTCACACACGACATCACAGCGAGTTACTGGAAACGATTCAACCTAAACCATAACCTGTGTGTGTCCGTCCAGGTGTACGAGGTCACCATCTTTGAGGCAGAAGACGACGACTCCTTCGATGAAGACACAGAAATCACTGAAGCTGTGAGTCTTCACACACACACACACACACACACACACACACACACACACACACACACACACACACACACTTTTCTACTTCCGTCTCACAGTGAGTGTGTGTTTTCTCTCTCAGGACTACTGGCGGTGTGTGAAGTGTGACGAGTTGAACCCCCCCCTCCCTAGAAACTGTCTCCGCTGTTGGACTCTGCGACGCGATTGGCTGCCTGAGGAGTCCCTCAACGCTACTAACTCCTCCCCCTCCAGTCCTAAAGCACTGCCCAAAAAGCCAACCGACCAATCGGCAGCCAAAGAAGCTTCAGGTACCTTTAGTTGCAGCATCAGGTCACGAGTTCGTATCATATCTGACGAGTTATCAATGATTCAACAGACAGAGGTGGTTAAATCATGTGGGCGGAGTTTGTTTCAGTTTGAAAAGAAGAATTGAACCTTTGCTGATTGATGGATTTTGTCTCCTGAAGGTTCCGATGTCGAGGAGAACGAAGGAGTCGATGTTCCAGATGGGAAAAGGGCGAGAACTCCTCCTCTGTCGCAGTGTTTCTCTGACTGCACCTCCTCCGCTCCCAACTCCCAGGATCTCCTCTCCTCCTCCCAGCCCTCCTCCTCCTACTCCTCCACGGACTCCCAGGAGCTTCTCCAGTCGTCCCTCACATGTTCACCTCCTGCTCCTGCGGTCCCAGAGTTGGAGCGCAGCGTGTCTGCGGAGTGGCGTTTGCCAGAGTCGTGCCTCGACCCCTGCCTCATCTGTCAGTCCCGGCCCAAGAACGGCTGCATCGTCCACGGACGAACGGGACACCTCATGTCCTGCTACGTCTGCGCCAGGAAGCTGAAGAAGAGGAACAAGCTGTGTCCCGTCTGCAGGCTGCCCATCCAGTCTGTCGTCTTCACCTACCTCAGCTGAGACTCACCCTCTGTCCTCACCTCCTTCAGCTGAGACTCGCCCTCTGTCCTCACCTCCTTCAGCTGAGACTCACCCTCTGTCCTCACCCACCAACTCTGTCCTCACCTACCTCAGCTGAGACCCCCACTTGTCCTCACCCTCTTCACATGTAGGCCTCTGCCACCGCAGGCACTTAACCTCGACACGTATGTTCAGGTGTAGCTGTCGTCACAACTTGTATCTTGTAACATGTTCAGCTGCAATTTGTTTTCAATTAGTCGACTCTTCATCAACTAGTTTTGATAATCAGCTTGTCTTCATCATATATGAGTGTAAACAACATATATGATCGGACACTTAGAAAATAAATAAAATAAAACGTAACCTAGAACGTTAAGTTTAAGTTTTCTTCTAAGTTCAGGTTCCACATCATTAAGTTTCTTTAGTACGAGGACACAGATCTCAACAAATCCCTTTCACACGTCTCGTCTCAATGACTCTTTAAAACCCAAAGAAGAATTTCCATCCACAGAATATTTAAATGTTCGATTGTTTTTCATTTTTCATTCAGAGAATCAAACTGGTGACAGGAAGACGCTCGTCAGACAAACTGAATATTTGATCTTGGGTCAGAAGGTTTCACTTTATTTCGTATTTTGTATTTTAGATGAAACAGTTAATCACTTAATTCACTAATTGGCAGATTAATCAAAGATTTAAAAAATCTTATCTGCGGTATTTATTTGGAAAGTGGTTACGAGTGAATCTCCGGCATTTTTCCTAGAAATATTATTTGAAAAAATTGTTCAAGT